CTCTTTCTGAGATGTGTTTCCTCTTTGTCTCCACCATTAAAATGCTATAATCTTTGCAGGTCTTGATCAAGTGCCACTCCATTGTGAAGGCTTTCCTGATTCCAGGGCATAATTACTCTATCCTCAGCGTGTTCTCTATAGCTCTTTACTGATACATCTTTTCAATTCTGCTTCGCTGTCTGTTTCTTCACTCCTACCAGATTTAAAATCCTTGAAGACAGGAACTGTGTATGAAATAGGCCTTGGCCCTGCAAAGTGCCTATCACAATGTTTTCCACATAGTAGGTGCTCAATACTTGTTTGGAGAATGAAGGAATGAATGAATCATGTATACTTGGCCCTCCCTTTTTACTTTCTACTTTCATGGATTCAATCAGGGGTTCTACTTTCATGGATTCAATCAACCACAGATCAAAATATTTTTTACAGCAAATAAAAAAATACAACAATTAAAAATAACAGAAATAATATAGTATAACAATTATTTACATAGCATTTACATTGTATTAAGTATTGTAAGTAACCTAGAGATGATTTAAAGTACAAAGGAGGATGTACCTAGGTTATAGCATATACCACTTTTATATAAGGAACTTGAGCATCTTCTGATTTTGGTATATGTGGGGTCCTAATCCTGCCCCCTTACTGAGGCACAGCTGTATATCATTTTGAAGATTACAGGGCTATCAAGCGCAGGGCCATTTGCTACCTTTTTGCATGCTCAGCACTTAATGTCGTGGATGGTGTCCAATATTAATATTCACTGTAAATAAGCTGGTAGTATTTCATATGTGCATATTTTAAAGACCACTGAACTTACTAGATATTTTTTACACAATACTGCTTACATTTTTATGCACTTCCACTAAATTAAGAAACTCTTTGGGTCAGGAATTGTGCCTTCTCTGTATTTGCACCTTTATTCTCCCAGATATTTGTTTTACATATAAATTACTGATGCAGAATAAAAATATTTGTTAGCTGTTTCTTAGATTCAAAAGTTACTCAGATACTCTCACATTTATTGATACATATCACTGTGCTAAGCAATATGGGAATATGGTTCATATATGCATACATAGTAGAATTGTGTAAACATAGTTTGTTACGGATTTGGATATGCTCTGACGGAAGTGATATATTTTGGGAAGTAATGACCACATCCAGCTATCCAGCAAGTCTTTCATATAACTCAATAATACTTAAGTAGGTCTCAATCTTGTCCTTCAGTATTGCCATTATACAAGTGTTTTTGCTGTCTTTATTTGCATATTGTTTTTATTGTATTTGAAGAGGATGGTAAGGGCAACTCTGGGTGGAGTGGTAGAGCCAGAAGGCTGAAAAGAGAATTGAGAGTCATAAAATCTAGACAATTAGAGTCAGAGGGGCAAGAAGATTACAGTAGTGGGTCCAACCTCCCTATTCCACAGATGAGAAAACAGGATCAAGTTCACGCGCTTGCCTTTGTACCTCATGGTGCTCAATCTTTGGGAGCCTGCAATCAAAAAGAAGACCTCACAGGTGAAAGGAAGCAGTTTTCCGGCTGTTTTCTTTGAAGGGTCTCTTCTGTTTGCACTGTTCCAGAACACACCTGTTGGATTCCTGTCAGAGCTTAGCAAGTGCATGCTTATTTATACCACCAATGACATCATTCATTCATCTTGGAAGCCGCAGTGCTCTCCCCCACAGGTTCTCAGCAGTTACTAAGATGTCCCCTGATTTCATTGACCTCTGTGTGTCTTCAATCCTTGACCTTTAAGGCTCCCTGGTGCCAGAATGTCTGCAGCTGTAGGATCAAAGACCCTTGGGGGAAAAAATCCATTCTCAAAAGGGAGGAAGATGGGGTGAGTTATTAGGAAAACCAGCTACATGCCCCAGAGCCTTTGTTCATCTGGAAAATGCCTGAACTGTATTCTGAGTATAAACATCAAGCCCTAAGACTGAAACACAACACAAGTCAGAAACAGAGTTGATATTAAAGCTCAGGTCTCCTGCCTGCCAATCCAGAGCCACATTCTGTCTGTCTTCTAAAAGAACTTGATGTGTCTCATACAAAGTACGTGCTCAATAAATATCTTTGAACTAGATGAATGAATGAGGTGGCATATAATGACAGATACAAATACAGCAAAATTTTCAAGATAAGAGCAAAAGACAAAGCGGTAATTTAAACGTAAAAGACAAGGTTAGACCTTTTAGTGTACGTCCTAGAATTAAATCTAAATTCGGTTTCCAGCGTCCTGGCAAGCAAAGCAAAAAGGGCAATGCACTGGACTTGACCAAGGTCTCATTGCATAAGAGACACAGCACTCCAGAGAATCATATGTTTTCCTCACTTTTCTATCTCTGGGAGAAATGAGTCTTGTGGGAAAACTTCTTACTATACCAAAGTGTTGTTTATGTTTTAAGAACATGTGAAGATTCTTCCTTGGTGTACAGCCAAACTGCTTCTTTGCAGCAATTTAGTCCCCTTCCCAAGTGTTGGTTGTTCAAAGAGAATAACTCCATTTTGGTTACCATTCCCCTGCTGCCTGCAACTGCTGTTTCCAAATCGCAGCCAAGACCCATTGTTTAAGTGGAACCTCAGAACATTCTCAAAATATTTGGTAAGCACTCTCTAGTTATAGATGTCCTTCCTCTGCTAGTCTTACAAAGCTAGATGCTAGGATATTTTTGCAGTCTATTATACTTAGCACAGTTTATAATCCTTGGCTCTGTTATCTCAGGCACCCCCTTAAGAATCCCTTAACAAATAAAGTAACCTGAGTAGAATAAAGTCCTTGTTGATTGATCTGAGCTTTGCAGTGCACTCAGCCCAATCTCACTTTGCAGCTCTCTGCTCTGGCTCCCTCCTGCCCAGGCCATCCATTCTGTTTAGGCATTCTCTGCTATTTATGGCCAAGCTCCATATTTTTCCTCCTGTTTTTCACTATGTCTATGATAGTGTCCATCTTCGTATCTGAAATCATAATTCAACTTTGAGCATATTTTCCTGATGAAATTTGCCAAACAAAGCACGTGAAAGCTTGTATGCATTACATTCACTTGAAACAGTGACACGTATTTCTTTTAGTCCCAGAATGTTATACATTCAATTAACTGGCTCCTTTGTTTTATGGGTGAGAGAATGGAAACCTGAAAAAGTAAAATGATTTGCTTTTCAGTCCTTATCCTGGTAAGTATTTAACCTGTTCAAACTACTTTGTAATGTTTACTTTTATATTATCTTTATTTTGTGGACTGGGAGATTTCATTTCCCAATTCATTGCATCTTGACCCCTGGCTGGCATCCTGCATATTCTTGTTTTTTGGGGTTTTCTTTCTTTTTTTTTTTTTTTTGAGACAGAGTTTTGCTCTTGTTGCCCAGGCTGAAGTGTAGTGGTGTGATCTCGGCTCACTGCAACCTCTGCCTCCCGGGTTCAAGTGATTCTCCTGCCTCAGCCTCCTGAGTAGCTGGGATTACAGGTGCCTGTCACTATGCCTGGCTCATTTTTGTATTTTTAGTAGAGACAGGTCTTCACCATGTTGGCCAGGCTGGTCTCGAACTCCTGACTTCAGGTAATCCACCCACTTTGGCCTCTCAAAGTGCTGGAATTACAGGCATGAGCCACTGTGCCCAGCATGCATATTCTTAATTCTTAATATATTAATGAACTAAGTGAAATTAAAATTATTTTATATTCTATTTCAACCTAAGAAAAAGTGAATGAATTAATCAATTAGGGTCACTTTAAAGTAAAAAAGAAATATATAAAATATTTTGGTCACTTGGGTATTTCAAGGCAGAATTGATAACCTAAATTTTTTCATTTTTCTAAATCATTTTTATCATTATAACATGTCAATTATGAATACCTTTCTTCACCTACCAATTCTGACAACTTTTTCTATTGAAAATATCTATTTTTTAATGCTATGATTTGAAAAAACCATCATAAAGACTCTATCCTCATAGGTAAATTATGTCTTCTAGGATGCCGAATGGGCAATGCAAGTCTTATTTTTAAGAATTAGATTTATAGAATAGAAAAACAATGCAGTCTTTGTAGGAGCTTCTACAAACAGGAGATGTGAGAAGCATTCAAAACAAAGATGGGGTCATCTTTAAAAATATAGGAAGTTTTGATCTTTCTCCTTGCCTAGAGCAAGGTGAAAGGGTAGAGTCTTAAACTAAGTCTGATCTGTATATTTAAGTTAAACAACACTTTCAACGTGTATGGGCAAGCGGCAGCATTATTCAAATGGTAAAAAATACAGGCTCCAGATTTTGTAACTATACGAATATATCATTCAAAATAAATACCTTTTTCTCCCTCCTAGGTTTAACTATAAGAAAATGAATCCTTAAAAAGGAATGATTCGATGGTGTAAGAATGCAAATTTGGCAAAGTAATAAAACGCTAGTAATTCTGGACATTTTACATTCCTGCCTATAACTGAAAGTTCTGTACTTCTTTCTAGGGTTGGTATGCTTCCCAGCCTTATAACCACTGATACTTTTGACAGATCTTGGAAAGAGTGACTCATTTATGAAGACGCACAACGTTTAAGAAAACAACCACAGGATAATGAGGGAAAGGTGTGACGACTAGGCTTGTGTTTTGACTAATCTTGGGGAAATGTATAAGCCTTCCAGATATTTGCTAATTTCTCCAGGAGAGAGCATATTTCTCACTGCAAGGTCCATCCAGTTACTGTGAAATGATTTATAGAAGCACTCTTGATTCGTGAGGGCTGACACCTAGCCACTCAACTGCCATAGAGAGCTTAAATCTGTTTGGCAAACCTAGCACAATAACTAGAAACATTGCTTAGATATATAAATCTATCAAAGACATTAGGAATTTACATTTCTGAAGTCATAACCGTTTGATTTTTTTTTGCAATAGAAACTTCTCACCCCTGCTTTCTCTCGTTCACTGAAGCAAAAGTGTCTCAGTATTTTGTTTTGAAATGCAAGAAAAGTGTTAAGGAGTTGTTCTCTTCTGGCATGTTTGCAGTTATTGCTTGATGGATTCTGCTAACTCCCAGGAGAATCCAAGTGGGAGGACAAGTAGAAGGAACAAAGAGTCCAAAGGCTGGAGCCCTCAGTTCATTGTTTATGGAACATTCCTGCAGTCCCCAGAAGGGGCACGGTAAGTGGACTAGACACCCAGTTTCAGGCAGCACTCATCTGGCACCCAGACGCTGGAACAGAGGTATGAAGCAGAAGCCCGGTTATCTAAACCCAGTGATAAAGGCAGAGATGGAGAAGCAAGAGTGGTTTGATGTAGAAGTCTCAGCATGTTGACTTGAGCCCTTAAACTCTTCTGGCTTTGATTCAGGTCTGTAAACTGGTTGTTAAGGGCTGGGGCAGGTCCATCTGCATATGGAGTCCAAGTCAAAGTCTACCATATGGGAGGCCAGTAATGTCACTACAATTGTGCGATTTGCACAAAAGCACCTGGCCAGGCTGAAACCTAGCCCAGAGCTCCTGTTCTCCACATCACATGCTTCACACAGCCTGTGTTGTCTTATCAACAACACCTTTTCATAAATCTGAAAAGATTCCCTATGTGCCCGGAGTGACCTGCCAGGAGGCTCATTTTGGCCCAGGACTCACAATCAGGCAGCTCCCCAAATTTGTACTTCTGGAGATAACCCCAAGATATGTTATTCCTACGATCAAAGATATACTTAGGATTGAAAGCAGGAGACTGGTTCATTGTTCGCTGAAACCTATGCCCTGTTGTAAGACCACCTATCACTTGTGGTGTAACATTTGTGTGAATCAGAAAAAGGCAGATACAGCCCTGCACCAGGTTTGGCAATCGTGAGCCAGATTTTAATCCCCACTCTTCCCCTTGGTCAACCTGCACAGTCATACCTGGTGACTCTGCCTATATATCACTTTAAAAAAATAAATCTGGAAACTATTTTGTAAATTGCAAACTTGTATCATATATATTTTTTGTTGTGGAGTGTTAATTGCTTTAATAATGAAAAATCCTTTTTATAACTAAGTTTTAGCATACCTTCATTTAAAAATATACCAGGACTATAAAAAAAAATGGAAGTGGACTTGGTCTCTCTCTCTCTCTCTCTCTCTCTCTCTCTTTCACTTCACCTTTGAGAAGGCCCAGCCAAGGAAGAGCAAGGAAGGAGGCTGGAGCTGGAGGCTTGCAGGCTTGACACCTTCCACTCCAAATACTGGACCTAACAGAGGCTGCCTGTCATCTCTAATAACTTTTCCTCCAGGAAATGTCATCGCTTCATTGCATTGCAAGAAAATGATGTCATAGTATAGGACCCTGATCCGTTTCCTGACTTTTAACCTGAGTCTCATAACCTTTTTCAGCTGTACTGAACCCAGAGAAAATGAAACACATTGAAATGCGAAGGCCAGCACATCTCATAAAGGCCTTTGAGGCCCCAGGGTGGGGCTAACTTATGCATATATATTAATGATCAAAATACAGTCTTGTTTGGGTGTCACATCCTGGATATGGCATGGACCCAGTACCTAGGAAATGGAAAGGAAATAGGCTTCAGGATGTGTCTGTAATTTCTTGGCAGAAACCCTTCCTTTTCCTATATTGGGTTTAATTAGTAGTGACAATGTTAAATTTAATTAGGATGGCTTGCATGTTTTTCCTTCTGATGGTGGTTTTTGTTGTTAAACTCCATGTGAAAATTAAGAATGGTCCCTGAACTGATATTTGAAATCTTACATACTGCATTTGTGTCTCCACATCTTAGGACTGGTTACAAACCCAGCCCAAATGACATTATGGAGCTATTTCCTGGAATGTCAAGGGCTGAAATTGCCCTGTCAAGAATGAGTCTGTTCTTTCAGGGATTTCAGAAAGCAAGGGCTCAGATTGCATTCTTGCTCTGTTATTATAAGTTTTTCCTGGCAGGAAACCACTGGGTCTCAGATAATTTGCATATATCCAATGAGAGTGATCTACTGTTCTATGGAGGTTTTCAAGATTGCATGACAACACCGTGGAAGAATCTCATATGGGGAAAGGGGATTTTTTCCCCCTTTCCCTAAGCCCCATTTTAAATAGTTTCCTTCCCACAAGCTGATGTGTCCACATTCAAAGAGTTATAAGTAACCCAGCCCATTTTCCTGCCTTGGCCTCTGCCACTAGTTCTATAATATCAACAGCCACACAAAACTGGAAGCAAGTTGTTTAAAGTAAAGGTGCTTATTCCTTCCAGTCTGTAAAACAGACTTTTGTGGCATATGAAGGCAAGAAATAATCTTTTAGTTCTTCCAGGCAAGGGCATAGCTAAATGACCCCTCATTTCTTGTTAACTGTAAGGGCAAGAAATACTCCCACATATTTAGTGATATCTGAATATAATTTTTAATGTTATACATGGGATTTCAATTAACCTAAAAGACATGGTACTGGACTACTTCGCTTGGTACCATAAAAGTTTTGTATCTGTTTGGAATCCTCAGAACTGTGTACAAAAAGATTAAAATGTTCAGATAATGTACTGACACATTTGAAGTCCCTATTTGTGTAATCACCAGACCCAGGACTAGATATTTTATTACTCCATTAAAATGACAAATAAACATGTGTTGACTGAAGAGCCAGGGGCTGGGAGGCACTTACAGGACTTCCAGACACCAACAACAGGACTTCCTTTTATGTCACAGGAACCCAGTGGAGAATGACTTAAGTAACTGCATCATGCTCATATTATTTGAGCATTCCTTCCCATTATTGGGTGCCCTGGTTATTTATTTGCTTGCATTTGCTTTCTTATTTACTTCCCACTCTGTTCTGAAGAAATTTAAGGTGACCGCTGGGCATTTTATCAAGAGTTGGAGCTCTGGTCACTATGGCATCAATTGTAGGACCAGCTGTGTGCCTTTGAACTTATCACTTAGCCTCTCTGAATATCGGATTCTTCATCTGTAAAATGAAGGTATTTAACAGTTTCGTGTCTAGAGTGTTATACATAAATTTTTTTCTCAACTTGTTAATTATCAAATGAATGGACTCTATGTAGACTGTTATTCAAAGGCATCCAATAAATGCGTAGCATGACTCTATAACACTACACGCCAATTTTGAGTGCTTATGGTATGTTGGACTTTCTGCTCTGTGCTTTACCTATGGGGTATCACTGAATTCTCTCAGCACACCTGTGAATTAGCTACCCCCATCAGCTCCATCTGACCAGGAGAAAACTGAGGGGGTGCCCTAAGATCACAGAAGGCCAGGATCTGGATTTCTGGGCCAGGGATTCCTCATTCCAAAGCCCCACCCACTTTCTACTATAGGACATCGGTGCATCCCAAACTTTAGTGTGCATCATTGTCACCTGGAGGACAACTTCCTAAACCAGATTGATGAGACCCAAGCCCACACTTTCCAGTTCATGCAAGTTGCCAGGTGATGCCGATGCTGCTGGTCTGGGGGCCACAATCCGAGAGCCACTGCATTATGCTATAAAGAACTACAGTTGCAGGACCAAGGCATGAAGAATGCAAGAAGCAGATCTCTAACCAAACGAAGAAAGAACCTGGACATTTCGAGCTACTCAGTAACTGAATGGGTTGCCTCTTGGGAATGGCTGAACTGTAAGGGGCATGTAGATCTTGGGACATTTGATGAGAAGTTGGCCTAATGGGCCTTGAAGGTGCCTTCTAACTATTAAATCGTCATGAGTGCCAAAGACAAGAGACAGAGAGTCTAGGAGGGAGGGTCACACTCCCCATGCAGAAGGCCCTTCTCATTACGGCACAATTCAGTGTTTTAACTGTGCTTTGAAGATTTTGAGTCACTTTGATAACGGCAATGAGGAAAACCTGAGAAAAACGTTTCCTCAATTTAGGTAATACAGAATTACAGTTTAATGAAACACCACACAAGGAACAAGAGAAACTTAAAGACAACATTCATTCACTGTAGATTTATATTTCGAATTTTAACATTTCTGTAACAATAATATAATTTCAATTTTTATGTCATAATATATAAATCAGAAAAAAGTTAATTTCAAAAGGCTAAAATATAAAACTATTGAAATTTTTATTTTATAAGGACATAGAGGGAAAGGGTTTACAGATCAAAATGATTTTGTAAATATTTCAAAATAAATATCACATATAAGGCAAATTTAGGAGGAACACTGCTCCAAATTTACTGTCCATTCTTTCAACCCTAGGAAAAAAAAAAAAAGAAGTGTTTATTTCTATAGTTTATCAAAGAAAAGAAAGTGTCACTTCTGACATTTAATTTAGCCTTTTTTTTATGTCATAGGAACCCAGTGAAGGATGACTCAAGCAACTGCATCATGGTCTCACTTAAGGATTTAAGAGGAATCAACAGAGAACAAAATTGGTGGTAGTGGTGAGAGGGGGTGGCAGAAAGATATAAAAAAGAAATATATGTGTAATAAAATAATCTGACATAATCATAAAACAGGAAAAACCATCACTTTTGTTGGTAGGCCTAAGGAGGTGGGAAAGCTCTCTGTTGAATGCTCTGTTGGTCATTTGCTGTTAGTTTTGTCTGGTTTGGATTGGGTTGGGGCTTTCCAGAAATTAACAGAAGGTTAAAGGGCACTGTACAAAATCTTTGACTGTGAGCCAAGAATTTAAATTTCATTAGGAGTAAGGGGAAGGAATATTTCTTGAGCACCTGTCAAGCGTATGCCCTGTGTCAGACTCTTATGAGAAATCATATCCTTTTCATTCTTGCAACATGTGAGGTAGGGGTTATCTCCATTTTATAAACAGGGAACCTTAGGCTCAGAGAGGTTTGCTATCAGTTTGCTCAAGGCTAGTCAGATGATTAGTAATAGAAGAGATAATAAAACCTCAAACTGTCTGACTTCAGACGTGCCACTGCACACCAGGTTCTCTATGTCTCATAAATAATGGTGAAAACAATTCTTCTCCAACAAACCACTGCTCTTTGGCATGGAAATGCAAATCCACTGTTTCTCTCTACCCTTTCCTGGAGAATTCTTAGATTCCATAGTACATTCCCTATGACATGTAAGTAGATTTTAGATTTGAAATACTCCTGCTGTA